AGTTATAGGGGACGTGCATCATCATAATGCGAGATATTCAGGAAGTGTGTATTTCGCTGTTCAATGGTGGAAGAAGGGTAATGGTTTAGAAATACCCAAAGAAGTGAAAAACACAAGTACTAAGGGTGTTGAACTGCTCCCCAGGCCGCTTTACCAATTCGCCCTGTAAGCCCCGTCAGTCTGTCACCCCTGGCTCTGTTTGCTTGCCAGGCTAGTTGTACAGAAAAGAAGAAGCGAACATGGAAGCGAAAGAGGAATTGTGCCCGTAGGTATAATGGTATCTCGAACAGGAAGGAAAGAGGAGAATAGAGAAAGAAAAAAAAAACCATCACGTATCAACGCCAAATAGCAGCAACGTAGCAAGATACCCTTCCCACCGACATGCAACGCATGTGTCTACGCATGTGCCCATGCCGCTTTCCTTTGTCGTTGGCGCCCCAAAACCCCACCCAGACAAGACAAAAAGACAGACAAAACCCGACCCCAGCCTTGTATAGACCTGCCATTCCCGAACCCATAGAAGTCAATCCCATGTTTGTTTGCCTTGTTTCCCATAACGTCATTTGTATCCTCTGTGCTAGTCGTATACCATATGTAATGGTTGTTATTGGTCGTCCAGTGACAAGTAAGATCCCCAGTGGAACAGACAAACCCTGGAAGATGTTTGACGCTTCCTTCTAGGGGCTTATAATCCATATCTTAGTAGAGTAGTCGTAGTTCATATGCTGTCTGCGAGCTGTTGTTGGTCGTTGCTGGAGATGCTAGCTCGGCCTCAGGGCCATCGACAGCCATCTCCCATTCTCGCTTAACGCCAGAGTTGTTGTTGCCATTGACTTCGCGGATCTCGAGCTTCATGTCCTGGCCTTCCTGAAGCTCCTGAATAACGTCATCGTCCATTGCTACCTCGAGTCCGCGGTGGAGAAAGTGAGTGACACGGACGATGCTGCTCGGGTCCAGGTTCCATTTCTGCGCAATACGCGTAACGAACTCGTGCAGGCTTCGTTGCATCAGGTAGATCGCACGATAGATTTCCGGGCCATGTGAGTTTTCGGGATCTGCACGGGCCACATAGAAACAAGCAACGGGCTTGATTGCCCTTTCTGGGGGAGGGCGGTAAGACGCGTCGACATCCAAGGAGTCAATCCAGCCCGTCAAATTTCCATTATCACCCGTGATCCTTTTAACTCTACTTGGGGGGCCGGACAGTCCCTTGGAAGCATCGCTCGAGTTGAACCTGGAAAGCTCTGGCCAGTTTGGTTTCGATCCGCTGACGGACATCTGGGAAGCAAGCGAAAGCGAGCTTGGAGATGGCGAAACAAGAGAGGATCCGGCAACAGAGCTTCGCTCGCTACGCCAAGCGTTACTTTCCTTGGACTCCAGCTTGGTAAGGTCAAGGGACTCTCCAGGAAGAGCCACAGGATGCAGGTCGGGGTCGTCCAGTTCGTCACCACGGAGGTATAGGACGCTTACCGGACGAGTGCTGGTAAACATGTCCTGCGCATTTTGTAGCTTCATGGTGAGGTCCTCTTCGAGTTGCACACGAGGGTTTCCTCCAGCGGAACTAGCGGATGACATGGACCACGTCCGCTTGTGTTTTTGAATCTTTCCAGGGCGTTGGCTGCTTTGAGTCTTCATCTGCGCTACCCCTGATCTCTTCCTCTTGCCAAAATCCTTGATCCCACTCTCGGCTTGCTGCATCTGCTGCTTTATTTTATCAATATTTTTTCGCACGTGGGCAACGTCATTGGACAGCTTGCGCTCAGCGCCGTGATCGCGGAACAACTTGACCATGCAATAGCAAATCTCGGCTCCGTCGCTGGTGTTTGGTGACTGAGGGGAATTCGGGAGATAGGGTTGAGTCTTGGCGCAGAGCCTCACAGGAATACCCTTGACACCCTTGGAATGGCTGAAGTCAGTGGAGAGGAAGTTGAAGCGGACGGCGATATTGCAGTCGACCGAACCGTTGATACCGGGGGTCCAGATGACTGAGAAACCGTCAAACGAAGCGCTCTCCAGCTCGATGCGCGTCCTCTTGTCGTCACCCTCTGCTGGCTGGGTAGCCTCGACAAATTCAACGGCTTGCAGTTTTCCTCCTCTCTGGTGTGCTTCATTGGTGCCGCGGCCTTCTTTCCACAAACTCCAGCACATGCCGGGCTTAAGTCGCTGCTGTTCGTCCTCAAAGGATACCCTGACAAATGTACGAAACCGAGTCCCCGGGGCAATGGGTAGCGTGGGCGCGGTATCGACTACGGACAGAGAGTAGGCCTGACCCTTGTTGAGGTAGGTGACAGGGATTTCGTCCAAGTTCTTAACCATGGCAGTGGGTGCGTTGAGCGTTGTGTGAAAGCGGAACCTTTCGGCTGACGGCGGTAGCTGCATGGAGAGGGGCATGCCGAATTGCCTAGCTTGGAAGCCCATCATGGGAGACTGTTGGAAGCTGCCGTCGATGTTGCCCATCCTTTCATCAGCCGGATCCGAATCTATGGGGGACCCGTCCTGATCCATTGTTTCAAAGCCCGAGTCTTGGTGAAGAAAAGTTGAAGGCGCAAAGGACGGCTGGTTTGGCGTAGCTTGGATAAAAGCGTTGAAGTGTGGGAACGGGGGGAAATTATGGTGGAATCCACCCAATTCCATATGCGCTGGCCCCGGGTGCAGAGATCCGTCAGCGGTAGGCATCGACAGCGGCGTGCCCAAGCCCATTCCGAGGCCGAGCGTCGGGGTATGGAGATCTCCAGCCGTGGGATGGTAGATGGTGTTCGTGCCACCCGGAGTAGGAGTATAATAGCCATGGCCGCCGGCGAATTGCGAGAAGGTGAACTGGTTCGCGTCTAGCACAGACGGGGTGAACCTCCACTGCTCGTTTGTGGCCCGGGGAGTCGGGTCCTGGTCACGAAAAGCGTCATGGCCAAGGCTTTGGGCCCTAAAGTATTTTACTAGTTAGCCAAACCCAGCCCAGGGATTCCGGATGATGAGAGATGGGATCGCATGGCATGACTGGCATGACCGGCCGGCCGGCCCGACGGCTGCCGTCGCTCAAGGTCATGACACATGCGAACTTCCGCAATGTCCGGAAGGTGCTTATTTTACGCTTATTTCATCCGAGTCAAGGATAAAACAAGCGGACCAGCGGCTGCGACGCAATGGAGCGAATATGTCGGGGGAAAAGAGTTACCCACCTTTCTGCGGCTGTGACAGCGATGCCAGCTTGACTGGTGGTTGCGGTTCGGGCAGGTGCTGCGGCCCCGGATGAAGTGGCGGCGGCTACTTCAGGGAACTGTTGCCTGAAGTGCGCCAGCAGATCATCTGCGGGCTTTTGCGAACTTGTTCTGTGAAAAGCAAAAGTGCCCGGTCAGCGAAACGGCCAAGGTTAAGAAAGTGGACAGGCAGGCAGTGGAGTGGGAAGCGCGGGTGCCAGTCCCGAAGTCTGGCGCTTATATTGAGACGGTTGGCAGCGGGCAGACAGAGCCAGTGCTTGCAAGGTGCAATAAGAAAAAAAGAACAAAAAGAAAAAAAAGGTGAAAGCGTAAAGTACTGACCGTTGACGGAACATGGTTTCTGAACGGGTCGACTGATCGTATCGAGTAGACTCGTTGCCCCCTCTTTCTTCAGAACACCGGAATGCTGGCTGTGGGCAGATATTTGTAAGTCCGGAGACGAACAGTGACTGCACCTGAATCGAATCGGATCCGGTATAAAAGCTCCGCTATGCCGATCGTAGTCGTCAACTCGCGTGGATTGATACTGATACGAATCTGCCGGACGATGCAATCGATGTCAAGCAACCAAGCTGATAGTGTAGACACGCAGTGCACGGCAGGCTGCGCGGGATTCCACTCAGTATCAAATGTCAGTGAGCCAAATTCGTACTTTGACTCGAAGGGCGTGTCGCGAGCAAGTATCGATGCTGGAGAGATGCTGCCGCAAGATGCTGGCTGGTGTCGGTCAGGCAGGTCGCAGATGCTGAAGTCCACCTTGTCTGTTGCGGAAACGAGAGGCAGTGCAAACAGATTGCGTGGAAAGAGTCAAAAGAGAGAAACGGCACTGCAGATGCGCCAGAGAAATGGAAGGGAGAAGGAAGTGATGCCTTTGGGAAATTTTTCGGTTCCTTCGTAGAGGTAGTTTATTGCGACTTCTTGTTTCTTCTCCGCCTCATGGCTGGCGCGCGAGCGGGTGTGTGGCCGGCCGAGCGTGCCCTGTATATACCTCTCTGCAGTCTCTACCGCTGAGACGGGACGGGAACTTCTCCCATGTACCCTCGGGGAGTTCGTCGTTTTACACTGTATGGTGCCCCAACACGCAGCACCTCAACCGCTAGTGCATTCCCAATCAAAAGCCCAAGGATTGTGTGTGGGTACCTAGGTAGGCTTGTACCGATACCTGATACCGTACGTTTCTGCGGAGTCAGTAGAGGTAGGTACTTTAGGTACCGGGCTGCCAGGATGGAGACGCTACCATATCAGGCCAGGGGGCACTAGTGTACTGGGGTTGATTACGGTACCGGTACAGTGCATACTTTACACAACGCTTGGTAAATGATATTCACTCTACACTAGTGGTCAGCGGACCGAGACTTGACAGGAAACAGTCTTCACCCCTCCGTTCTTGCTAAGAAGAAAGAGACCTAGGTGTGGTCATGGACGTGACGGCTGACGACGAAGTTCGCCTGCAGGTCGTAGTAAACTTTGAGAGGCCGCCTACCGATAGAAGACAAGATACAGTGTTTTACAAGCCAAGAAGTGAGAGTGCAGTACACCAAAACGATTCGACTCGGAAGGACTATCTGGTAGGAGCCATCAGAATGGACCGAGTTGGGTGAGGAGAAACGGACAGAACGGAGGAGTCAGGCTCTCTCTCAAACCGGTCCCATTGTCATCAGTTTCATCGGTCGCTTTCACACTTCACTCACACCTCGCTAAGCCCAAAGAAGAAGTAATGCGATGGTGTGAAGGGAGCTGTGGGAGCCAACCGCCGGGGGGGACTGATGGCTGACTCGGCGGACAATGACCCGTCTGGCTGATGGCCGCTTATGGCTGACCTCGCGGAGGACAGAAAGAGGGGTGGATGGGTTTAGTGTAGGGGGCCAAGCAATCCCCCCCGGCCACAGGATACCGATGCATAAGTCCAATGGATGCGGGCATGGTAAAGTGTAAAATTGGATGGTCGATTTGGGTCGACATCTTCAGGTGAGGCCTATTTTCTTCTTTTCTGGGTGACAGCTGGTTCGCGCCCCGAATCAGATGCAAAAAGCCAGGCATGGGGTCCAGTCCGGCATGTTCGCTGCATACACGTGTTGCCTACGAGCTGTGTGTTGTTATGCGGCGACATATTGCGCCATGCTTCAGACGTCTTTACAGCAATTACCAATCTACTGGTATCGCCTGGAATGCCGGGAGTGGATATGGGGATGACACGAAGACCATTGATATCGATGACTGTAGAGTTATAAGCGTTTGGTGGTGAGGATGGATTAGCCTTTCTGCCCGAGCACATAGCGGGAATACTTTAGATCCCGATGGTTTTTCGCATGGATGTTCTGTGGATTATATATAGCAGGGGCCCGAAGACATCCGTACCTAGGTATGCAGTACCTCTAGCTTGTAAGCCATCTCTATATACCTATACTGTGGTGTCGAGCTGGCCATGTACAAAGCTATAGTTTGGTTAGTTTGGTAAATTTGGCTTGCGACACCGGTGTGAACAGTAGGCGGTCCCCCGCGGCCATTCATACTCATGAGACGGAGAAGAAAAAAAAAAAGCAAATTAGTTTTGGACTATTGGGCAGTGTTATTGACCATGCACGTGCATTATCGACCCGCATCCTCGTCTTTGTGATATGAGTCGGTCGTTAGCTGATGCCCCGATGGTCGTTAACGAATCCCGATGGTCACTGAGCGCCGAAACGCTACCGGCACAGGCCGAAATTGCTAAGGAGGGGTTACCTGCTATGTACCACTTACTAGAACTTATCCACTCTCCAATCCCCACGCTGGGCCGTTCATGGATGCTCCAGTGGAGTCCAGGCGCCTTCAACCGTCTGCCTGTTACGGCATATGCCAAATTACTGCAGTGACAAAAGCTTCACCACACATCGACGACGGAACGCATTTTGGCGGTGAGAAAGATCCTAGGAGCATGCCTGATGAGGTACAAGTCGGGGAACAGTCAAATGCCCAAGAGGACACTTTTGTCCGGTATCAAACAGCTGCCCGAACCTAGACTGAAGACCTTGACGTATGAGCGGACTCACTACTAGCGTATAGGTGCACCGAGCCGCCGTCTGATATCCGGACCTTTTCCGGAACGCAGGTATCGATACTTCTCCAGTGAGCCAAATTTTTAATCCCGTGGCTGTGCTGGACCGTCTGGGTTCCAGTCGTGCAATCTGGTCAACTGTCAATCTCGATCGAATGCAGGCACGCAAGCATTGGTCCAGCGAGGTCCCTTGATGTGTCCTTGAAGTGTTCTTGAGATCAGCCCGGAGTCTGTGGCTTGAAAGCTGTCGCCACAGGTGTTGTCGGGTTTGCGACCTGTCTCGGCTGCACCAAATCGCGACGACTGGATAGCCGTTCTCCGATCTTCAAGATCCCATATCATCTCGGCGGCTCGACCTAACCGCGATGTCTGGATCCCGGATCTAGACCCCGCGATGCTCTCAAGAGGTAAGCGTGCCTGCCCGCCCAACCAACAACACACACTCACAACAGCCACTACAAATATAAACAACAACAATGATAATAACAATAATAATAACAACTACAGCAGCAATAACATATTCTAATGTTGCGGCACGGCAGCCCAAGTTTGGACAGCACTTCCTTCGTAAGTCGGGATTTGCTTGCGGTCAGATAAAAAAAAAAAAAAAAAAAAAAAAAAAAAAAAAAAAAAAAAAACTCTAGCGAGATTTCCCCGAAATTTCCCTCTGCCATCGTCGATGCACCGTTGGAACCGTAGAGCACGCACACTGTGAGTTTACAAAGCGAGTCCCGAGGACAGCGAGGAGTCAACAACAAGCCCTGGTCCAAGTCCACATTTCCCAGCGCCGGCCGGGGGTGGATTGTGTGTGTGTCCGATCCCAGGGGTTGGCTGGACGGTTGGATGCCCAAAACAGACGAGACCAGCGGAGATGGGAGTCCACAACGGACACCACGACAAAATTGACACAAGCTCAATGACGTCACAGGCGTTATTTTTTTTTTCCTCCCTTCCACTCTCATGAGGAACATGCTGGGGTCCTGGACTTTACCGAAATCGCACCACAATTGCGAAGGTCAATAGTTTGAGAGCCAAATGCCCTTATTGAGAGAATATCGATAACACTTCTTCCTCTTTTCTTAGCACCAAGGGAGGGGAGGACCATTTGCATGTGCGGGGGGAGGAGGAGAAAGAAGAGGGGGGGAGACCTTTCATCCTCTCGTCGCACATGTGCCCTTTCAAGCCACGTTAAGGTTTTCTTCGACATTGGGCCGCCAGAAGCAACGAACAGATAACCAGGGGCTGTATTAGGGGAAGCATTGACAATCGTCTTGGCAAGACCCGTGTTCGGGACGAGCGTCGATCTTGGCCTGTCTAAGGCGCAGGTGGTTCTGGAAGTTCTGCCACCGATTTCTTCATTCCACTGGGAAATTCGAAATGGGAGCGACCCCCTCAGCCGGAGCCAAAAGCAACGTGCCTACCTAGGTACCTATGAGAGCTGTGACAGAAAGGGGAGAGATCAATGACCGTGCACAAACCGTTATCAAATCTACGATCAGTGTCTCGCTTCCAGAACGTTTTGTGCTCTGGTCAGCTATTGGATATTATCCGAATAGACAATCTCGAATCCATCGCAAAATCTAGCTCCCCCGTGTAGCATATATGCATCTCGATATATCTACCGTTCTGCCGACGCTGTTCGGGCGACTGAATCAAAGTCTCACAGCTTCTTCGGAGTCGCTCACTTTCAACTTTGTTGTGAGAGCGCTGCACAGCTGGTGGATGGCTGGCACCACGATACTACCGAGACGTGGGCAAACTTGCAAAAGATTTCGTAGGAAAAGGCATAATCAACAGCAACAGACAAAAAACCGCATTCGCACGGCACAATGTTTGAAGGGTCAAGAGGGTTCACGCAGGTGAGCGGCGGCAGCAGGGCGCGTGCAAGGTTACTGCAGGTAGGGTCCAATAAGATAAACCTCCCGTCGGGCACGCCCAGCGATTTCCGCGATTTCGGTTGAGATTTTCCTGCTCAACCCTCGCGCTTCTACACTACACTACACGGACAAGCCAGCCCCGTCTGGACTCAAGCCCCACACAGCGCCCGACCTCCATTGACCGGCTGACGCGTCCGGGAGGGGTCCATTTCCTCAAAGGTGTCGGCCGGCCGGCCGGCGCGCAACAATGCCAGTTCGGCTACAAAGAAGGTCTGAAAATGCTGTCCATCCCTCCGGCTTCGCGATCCCAAAACACCGGATTCACAATTGTGGTCGGTCAGCCTCGCACTAAAGCATGACGTCATGCTTTCTCCAATTCTCCAGAACAAATCCGTTCGTCTCCGCTGCATGAAAACGCCAAGTGGTGGGCTCCAGGCAGGATGCGTTAAGGGGCCCAATTGGGGGAGGCCCGCTTTGGGGAGAAAGGCTCCGGCCCGGCGTGCCCACTGCGTGTGAAAGTAAAAGGGCCCGCTAAACCTTGTCAAACATCGATCGCGAAGAAATCACGACATTGTAATGGAGTGGTGGGCCAAAAAAAAAAAAAAAGAAAAATTGAAGAGAAAGCCGAAGCATATGGGGAAGGAAAAAAAAAGGCCAAAAACATGGTGCGTTGTCCCCGAAAATCTTCCCTTTGACGCCATCACTTGGCGCATAACCGAAGAGTAGTACAGGCCGAAGCCCGTTTGCCGTGCCCGGGCGACTCCGACCCCCCGCGGGACCGGTCAACGGTTACCGTAGTAATCAATCGTGACAGAGTCGTGATTTTCCCCCGCATCGCGCTGAGATGAGGTTGGGCGTGAGACTGAGATTGAACCCGAAACAGGGGGAACACACTTGAGGAGGCAGTAGCATCGCCTGATACATAGCCGTAGCCGCGGCTCAAGATGCGACCTTCTCAAGCGCTCTGGAGCCGTGGCTGAGGAAATGACGTCATACTCGTCTGACGCGCAGCAATGTCTTTTTTCGTCTTTTTTTTTTTTTTTTTTTTTTTTTTTTTTTTTTTTTTTTTTTTTTTCCGGGTTAGGGGTACACATTAGTCCTGAAGAGATCGTTACATAGCCTGGTACTAAACAGAAGCTCTAAGCAAGGGGGGACAAACTGCCCTGTACATGTCTTGTAACTTCCATTACCAATTATAGAAGGTAGGGAGGAGAGGTTTTAGGTGATTCTGGCGGTCCCGAGCTACCTAGGATAAGAGGTTTCAGCTGTGTGCGGTTGTTGGTACCTAATGGATCCCATCTTGTAATAAGATGTAGAACACGTAGGCATGTAACAGACTAACAACTTTACAAGGACTGATGTATACTGCGGGTAGACCATTCTCCAGTCCCCCAGGGCAGTTTCCGCTGCTCTGGGTCCAGCTGCAACTGAACCGAGTGTTTCGAATGCGGGAGTCGTGAGAACTTCAGTCCGATTCCCATTTCCATTTCCATCCCATCGTTCAGTTCAGGTACAGTGCTCGCACGCCACCTCCGGCTGTTGTCTGACGGTGATACATCCCGTGATCAGTGGTGTTCAGCGTTGCCATTTCCAAGTTCAATCTGGGCCAAAAAGATACTTTCTCTTTCCACTCATCTTGACCTTCCCTTTCCCAAAAATGGCTTTTTATTGAAAATGGGACACCTTTTGTCAGGTGAAGTTTACCGCCTTTTCCGAAGGATTCATTCGGGGCCCTGTGGGGTTGAGCCTATGACGTCACCGTGGGGAGGTTTCTCGCACTTGCACTAGGCTCGCTCGGCTTAACTGGGGTTGGGCGAATTGGGAATGGCATCCAAGCATCCCGTCTTACAAGGGCAGCTCCTACACTACTTAGAAACTGGCGTACCGTAAGGAACCACGGCATGAAATGGCGGGAACTGTGTCCCACTTGGATGGCCCGCAAAGTTGAACGCCATTCGATCTGACAACTTCACACAACGGAACTGAAACGCGCTGTGCACTTGACAATTGCCCCGGCGTGATTGTCTCTCTGAGCTTTCTCCTTGCCGATCAGGGTACCCGTACCTAGCTACGCTACAGCCTTTTAGTGTACAACCCGCGCGCGGTCTTAGTGCGACGTTACACGACTGCCTGAGAATGGGGCGGGGCACGCGAGCGACAGACGCACATCTTCACCACTATTTGTTCAATTTGCGAATCAGCTCTTATCAACCACCCACGTCCATCCGAGAAGCTACACTACGTACGGGAGAGAACACCATCGTCCATCACAAGAAGACATATCCAAGTGGCCCACAGCTTGCTTCAATGCGCACACTGTTCTCTTCAAGTCTTTACGAAAGACGGGTTACCTTATGTTGTTGTTCGGAACAATACTCCCATAGGCTTGCTTGCGATTAGACAATTCTGATTCACAATGCTCTTCTTCTATGTAACAATGTCCGATCGGCATTCATGTCTCCGGCGTCCACATATCCATGTCTTTTTCGATCGGGCTATTTTCCCTATATCCCGGTCCACGGTTTTAAAGGAAAGAGGTACGTACATAACATAGAAGTATCAAGACCAGCAGAAGCAAAGTTGGGCCGGGCCCATCTGGTCAGCCTTACCATGATCTCTTTCCCCTTTCAGTCATTCAGCCAGTCACTGTGCAAAAGAGACGCGAAAACAAACTCACCAGTCGGGTCTTCGCATGCTTGTAGATTCACATATTATACTATGAGGCTTTGACATGGTCCGTTATCCTCTGATCGTGGGGGTAGAACGGGCGTTATTATAAAGGGCTACGTTATCGGTTAACGGACATTGGAATTAAGCCCCTCACGCGCGCTACCCTAGATGCTACTTACTTAGCGCTACAGTACCTATGTATGATTTACGGACAAAGAAGGGGCGGAAATCGCCCTCGCGTGGGCTGTCGCGTCTTGCAATTTACAGGTCCATTGTGAATCCCTTCTCATCTCTTTTCTTGCCAAACAGACAAGAAAGCCCAGTACACACAGTGGTAGTAACCTACCGGCCCGCAACTATCATTTTTCGAAATCGAGATCGGACGGATTCTGCTGGTGTGTGTCAACACATGGGATGACAGGCCCCTTACCGAATGGGGAAATAATTTCTTGTATAATTCGAGTGAATATTCGGATATCCCGCTAAATCGAATATCAATGTTACTAAGCTATGAACAAGACATTGTAAACTCGGGACTCACGTCCGAGGCATCTAGAATATCTCGCGACACTGAGGGCGTTGACAGATGCTTCGTTGCAGCCGGACTTGGTCGGTTATTCCTCCCATTCGTCTTCTACGGAAGGCGTGTCTTACGAGCATCTCCTTACTTTTCGTTGCCTTCGATTCCTGCTGCTGTTTAACGCTCCTATGGTGCCCTCCAATATGTGTTCAACGGCTACTTTACCTCTTTGATCTCAAGGCTGAAACTGTGGTTTTGTACCTACGTCAAGGTCTCTCAATGTTTGGAGAATGATCAACACGCGCATCACATCATATCATTCTTCTGGTGTAGCTGACAACTAAGTATCAATCTTCGCTGCCGATAATACATCCGTCCCAATGATCACGTGTCACGATGCGTACTGACTTGCCGAAGCTATCTGCACGCTACATAGCGTAATTATCCACTCCATTGGGACTTTGCTCGGCTCGTTCGTCCTTCGAGCAAAAAGCCAAGGAGCCGGGTCCTCTCTATTTTTAGTGCCAAGCAGGAAGGGCGGTGATCGGCAAACGGAATACTATGGTAGAGGAGCAGATCTGATTTTTCTTTCCCTCGTTGTGATGTCTCTCTATCGCTGAGTGGTTGGTCGGCTCGGCAACATTTTCCTATCACAAATAAAAGAAGAAGAAAAAAAAAGAAAACTTTCCCATCTTGAGACTGCAAACTTTCCCATTCGATCTTTCCCCGATATGGGACTTTCCCCACTTTGCCATTGCTGTTCTTAGCGATACATATGTAGATACTATCTATGTGTAAGAATTACAGTCCATGTTCGCAGCACGGCAACATGGAATTGAATATACCTACAACGGACTTCCGGTTGGCAGTTCCTTCTTTAACGGACATGGACATATACCGTATTACTCGAGATTGGGCTTCAGGAAGGCGCTTTTTTATGCAGGCATAAGGAGGGTTAAAGGTGTCAGTCAACTATGTACATGCTTCTTGCTGCTTCTTTACACCTTTAACCCTGCTTATACCTGCGCTAACAGTGCCTTGCCGAACCTCGATTTGAAAATTATACGGTAGTATATGGTAAACGCAGAACCAGAGGTAGTTCTACTACGCAGTAGACGGGGCATGCGTCTAGTCACGCCTTCTCATTCTACCCCGCGAGAAGATCAACTGTAATGAGCCTTGATGGTCACAAGCTCCTCACTTCTATTTGACCGAACTCCGATGAGCTCAGATACTCTTTCCACATCGTCCAACAGGCAGCACAGTACCTCTACTGTAGGAAGTCGAGAACATCACAAATAGGTACTCAGTGGCGAGTCAAACACCGGCCAGTACCTATGACAGTTACTTTGCAGGTGTTAAAACGCAAATGTGTTTCAACTGGACACCTTTAACCTGACAGGATCATCTTGAATTTCAGGGCATTTCTAGGTACGGTGGCTGTCTAATTCGTCCAATGTCGAGTGACTATTCCGTCAAACGAGCCGCTTTCATCAAAAGGAATTCCTCTCGTAGACATGATGGGGGCTATGTTGCTGCTTGAAGGATATCACAAGGTCTGCAATGTGTCTGTCCATGCACCTTGTGCTATTGCTGGAATCATCACTTCCCTTTCATCCCTCTTCCGACTATTTACCACGCCGCGTGGACGACGTCGTACAGGTTCGTTGCATGGACTCTTCTCGAGTGGCGAATTTGTCGTTGCAGAGGGATACATTGAGAACAGATCGGGGGTGACTTGAGAAACCTGAAAGGGAGTGTGGGTTAAGATGGAAGTAAGATGCGCTGGGTCATGCCGTTGGGAATCTTCATGAACTCCCTCTGGCGATGATGGTTTGTCATCTCTCGATCAACGTCTACCTGCTGCTTTTGCAGGATCATCGCCATCAAACTCTGCCTGTTGACGCCGTCATTCTGTGTGCCTCTTTGCCGCCTGCTCACTCTACCTTCTGACTACCTTCTTGTCACATGTCCTTGGGTAGGTAGCTTTGGATGCCGGACAATAGGAATTGTTACAGCCCGTCACAGATCTCATGGACGATTAAAGAACGCGAATCTGAAGCGGGTGAGATGCTGCTCTTATAAACGTCAAGTCCAGACAAAAATGTCTACCGTGGAGGTATAAACTCGTATATGCCAGGCGGTGGGTAAAGGCCATTAACTTGCACATGATGCACCCAAAAGAATAGACCAACATAGTATTTGAGTCACTCAACCACGCAGTTCCTGATGTATGAGTTTGACAGTCAATACGATATGCTTACCATCCTGTATCCAGTCCTGTTTGGGCACGTTCGCAGCACCAAAGCTTCATATCGTCATAAGCGCATCGAAATGACAATACGCTGTGGGTATAGACGCTCCTAAATGTGAAGGCTCAACACCATACGACGTTCGAGTAGGCGAGGTCCTGCGCTAGAGATAATGCGGTATGCTCTTTGCTGCTTTCTCTCCCTTTGTCTGCCTGGATTTTACAATCCGGAAAAGGGCTCGGGGGAAAATTATGAATGCAAAATCATTGCGATTGCATGCGTTTTACAGATCTAGGTTCGTACATATGTAGAGGTAGAAATAAACTCCGCTTTGCTCAGCCTCCCAATGGGATTTCGGAGTCCTGTAACTCATCAACTCCTAGTCTATCACGGTGATTGCCAGTGCATGCGTGATACTGTCCTGAGTAAAGTACCTATTTCCAAAGAAAAAAACAAAAAATCACTCCATGTTGCAGACACCGTCAGTGGGTTTCGACACTCAACTCAACACAACTCAAAACCTAGACTACATTTTTGAGGTACATGTATTCCTCCCCTCTACCTCTCTTTTTATGCGCTCTGTTCTTGCGGTGCCTTAGGTGTATACATATTGTAGAAACTCGGTCGATTGACATGGAACCGTCCATCGCCTCTTTGAACCCCTTTGAGCGCTGGGCAGGACATATACTTATACAGGACAAGCCCGACTCTGTACATTACAACGCACGCAAGTTACCGTGGTGGGCAATTTTCTCGAGTGTTCACTAACTGGACAGGTACATCTTCTGGCATCTGCTGGCTTCCGGGGCGCCAACATATGCTCTGCCCGGCGCTGAAAGAGGAGATTGACGGTTGCCAACATTGCATCGACCGAGGTTTCTACGATACGCCCTTTGCAACATTATGTTCCATACTATCCTACGAATATTTCTCGTAATCTCATCATCCAAAGCTTGGTCACGGAAGTTCTCCTTCTCAGTTCCGTACATAGTACCTGGTACCTACCTCTATGCATGTACCTTGCAGTTGAGTGAGGAAAAGTCGTAGGTATGCTCCTAATGCACAATCAAACGCATGCAAAGACACTATGGCTAACAAGATGGGTCTCGCGAGCCCACATTGCTTTCACTTTCACTAAGGCAACTATGCAGCTGCGAGTCTGACAAGAGGCGGGGGGATATGTTATATGCCCGCTATGTAGACATGTACAGTATCTATCAAGTGTCTGTCTTCTCCCTGCACCCATTCGCCACTGATGGACGGAACTCCGCAATTCATGTTAGAAGGTCTTCCCTGATATTGACCGCAACCGTATCCCTATCAACTGCAAACCGCGCGTCTTCTAGAACCAACAGACGGGAACATGTAGGCAAGCTGTAGAGTACCTCTATGTTCCAATCAACAGTGATGGATACGTCAGGAACCTGAGGGATTTCAAGAGACTCGAGCAATCTCCAAGGTTGGATCTGCCTTACATCTGCTTGGGAACCTCAAGGACGGAGTCTAATCCACCACACTTGTACCATGGAGGCTCGCGAAGTTTTGCCACAATCTTCGTATTGAGCGCTGGGCAGGGCGTGTACGAGCGCTCCATCAGCCAGCATATACCAGCAGATGTGTCTGTTCAGTTAGTGAAAACTCGAGAACGTTGCCCACCACTCTAACTTGGTGCCCTTTAGCGTATAGGCATCGGGCTTGCCCTGTACAGATCTGCCCCTCCATCCGGCGCTCATAGAGGGAGGAGATTCGGGGCAAATTTCGAGTCATGTATAATGTTGAGTAAGCGTCACAAATGGGATGGATTAGCTACCACATGTCAGAAATCTGGTTTCAAAGAACATCAAATAAGCTAGGTATCAAACGCCGTGGGACGCTGTTACATGCGCAGCGCTTAAGCTCGGTGCTCGAGAATCCGGTTTTAGCGACATCACATCCCGCAATGACTCCGAGAGATCTGAACTCGGGGCTCAGGCAGAGCTTGGCAGGCAAACTGTACCTAGGCTCAATGAATGGAACTGGCCAGAATGTTAATGGGGTGTTTTGCGGTTGCTTGCGATTTGGGAGAGGTTTGTGCAGTCTGCAATGCTTCAAGATGTGTGCTCGAACAGGGCAGAAGAATCAGCCAGATCCCGAGTCCCAGGTTTTCCCCGAGACATGGCCGTAGTGTAGTTTGGCGGAAGGGGGCTATTTCCGATACATTGGTACCTTTTATCACATGCTGGCTGGGTCAGCTTTGTTTTTCGTGACTTTCCTGAACGTCCTGGGTGACGGGGACGCTGAGGGCAGCGGTCTTTCCCAACTTCTCCCAAAACATCAGACATCAGGGAGGGAAAAATCCACACCCAGGATCCAACCTTGTGTACTTGACACCCAAACCATATCCTCGTAGGGCGCACATGCCAGCCTTGGTTTGTGTGTTTTTAGCGTGGTAAGGAAAAGGCCAGACCTTACTCGACTTTGTAAAGCGGTCGAGACTTTCGGTGATCGGAGCTGTGAATAAGTCGCCAAACCAACTTCAACTTCCAATGTCGCATATTTATTGTGACACGACTCGGCGTCGAAGGCTGTATGGTGCCCTCATTCCCGCGAAGCAACGGAAGGTTCGGCTTCATCTCCGGCTCCGGCGTGCCGAACCGAAACATCAGGTCGGATATTGAATCCTCTGCGTCCTTTCCGTGCGAGTCCTCGGCTAGTAGACAGTTTTTTTTTTTTTTTTTTTTTTTTTTTTTTTTTTTTTTTTTTTTTTTTTTCAGTAACAGGCCTTGCCAGGCTGAGTGTCCAGCCCATGTTCGAAGGTTTGTCCGCGGGATGGGATGTTCAAACTATGCCTGTTGTGCTCTTTAGGTACTTTGTCGTTGTCCCTTTTACTTTCCTTTTGTTTACGGCAACATGAGCGGGAGCGTCTTGTCCGTTGTTTTGTCTCTTTCTGGATTCACCGTCGACGAAACTGAAACCGCATGTGGTGCAGGCCGCCTGGGTACTTACCTATTCCAAGTTAAATTGTTGTTCTTGAACCTTCCAGCTAAATCGACTGCCCCCCCCCATCTTTTTCGACTGTCTCTAACCGCTTCCGGTAGGCAGTCAAGGGGGCAGTTTCCTGCCAAGTTGCTTAGCGATGTCGATCCCCGCCAAAATACCCGCAGTGGAGCATGGTCATAAAACCCAGCCACAAATACGTACCTTGCACTACTACACACATATAATGCCAGAGATTTACATACAATATTTTAGAAGGGTCTAGGATTTATATAGATAATAATATAGACTAGTATTTATACCTTAAAACTCAATAATCATTTCACTATACTGGGTAGCCTTCGTCCTCTTCTATTTAGCAACCGCTTTATTAACTATAACGGGCGTAATATTAGGAGGCAACTATATACTAGAGGGTATACTCTAAACAATCTATATAGTAACTACAATACTAAAGTTGTTTTCCCGTATTATTGAAACTATTACTAAATCCTCTTATTATATTAGTACTAATCTCTTTAATTATACTACCTTTTAAATAAATGTAAACTTCTTTATAATTGTAGTCTTTACTCTCTTTTTAAACGGGGTATCGTATAAGGGATTATAGCGGGTAGAAGTATTATAACGCTAGCCAAAGCTCGAAATTATAATAGAGGGGAATTAAGTAACTTCGTATAGAGCATTCTCGTTAAAGGCGCTATCTGGTAGTAATTGGGGACCATTACGCACTTCGGTCTATTAGCGCCTCGAAGGGACTCGGTCGGGGTCTTCTTTATTGTAGAGCGTTAGAAACTCTAGTAATAGTAGCTGAACAATATTATTAGTATAGAGATTTGGTAAAAAATAACATAGCTAGACTATCTTACCTTTTCTTTAAAATGCCAGTACTTATTAACATTACCCAAAGATAATTGGGTATTACGAAGAATCAATATATATAATTTATACTAATAGGACAATCTATATTAGCGGCGGAAAGATGAAGTATAGCCACTACTAGCTCTGCCAATACGAATCTTATTACATATAATATCGACTTACTTAGCAATTAACTTCAACCCCGCAAATCCAACTAAATAATAAAGACGGCGTATTACGCAGTTATTATATTACACTACCTTCTTTAAAGTCTACTTTTAATAATTCGCAGTATAATTATACTTCAAATGATCGAATATCTCGTTAATAAATAAAAGGAGAGTATTGAAATCGACAAAGCGATTCTTAAATAAGCATTTAAATATACTATACGTACCCTCTATATATAATGTAACTCTTACGCCGAAATTGCAGTACTTTTTAATCTAGAAGTAGGCAAACTAGTATTGTACTAGCAGGTATATATTGCGTAAATATTAGATTAATACTATAAAAACTAGTCAATTAATAATTTTAATAGTAAGAGAGGATTACTTACCTTACTAATCCTCAAAATCCTTTATTAAAACTTCTTACTCCTTATTAAAATCCTCCTCAGTCTCCGTATAAACAACTATACTCTACGCTACAAGGAAGCTATCCGCGTTATTAACCTACTAATAAATACTATTATTAAAACGAACTTCAAATTTAAGGGCAAGAGGGTTACAAATACCAGAGCTAAAATAATAGGCACAATCGTCTTCTAATAATAATTAGGCACCAACGCAGCGGGTATCGCAGTCTCGATTTACGGAGTTATTTTAAATATCGGTCTCGGTCTCGTTAACAAAGTAACTATTAGCACTACTGTATTCACTAAATACAATACCCTCGAATAAACCTTCCTATTTCTTATATATATTAAAGGCAACGTTTTTTATAATGTACTCTATATAAATTTAGTATTATACGTTATTAAAGGTAGTTTAAAGAATATTCTTAAATACTTTATTATAATTTATAATTGCAACGTAAGGGCGGGGGATTTAGTACTAAGTAAGAATCTCCTTTATTATTT